GCAAATGAAATTAAGATTCTCTGAGCTGTACCACTCAGAAGGGATATTCATATTTTACTGATATACAAAGTTAATTCCATGCTGCTAAATTTTATTTTCAATGTATTGTCACAAGACAACTCAATAAGATTCTCTTCTTCTGCAGCAGTAAATTCAGATAAGAGTACTGGCATTAAACGAATCTTGAATTCATGCAAATTTATCAATATTATCATTTTGAAAATATTTCTCAACCGGGTAATAAGCTGTGATAAATGTTCTTCAAAAATAGAGTTCATACCTCGAGAGAAATCACCTCCATTGGAAGTCAAACACTTGCAACAAGGGGAAACATCCTTTCCTCCATCTTCATTTATTTTTCTTTTCCATAGTTTTAATTTTTTTTTTATAAAAGCTGAAATTTTCTCAATTGACTTTAAAAGGTGCATGTTGCTTCCCTGCAGGGAGAGATTTAGAGCATTCAGCTTTTCAAAAATATCACATAAGTATGCTAATTTTACCAAAATATCTTCAATCACAAAATTTTTGGCATACTTGTGGTCTTCCTCTTAAAGAATAATATAAATTTCCTGTCGCAGTTCAAACATACGAGACAAAATATTATCTCGAGAGAGCCATCGCTCTCTTGTGGTGGTGATTTGTACTTTCTCAAAGTGCTGTAGTACAACAAAGACGTATGCTCGGATCCCACATTCTCACATAGTTTTTCGAAAAATCTTGCCTTCAATGGCCATTTTTTATAAAGTTTACTACATGTACTACATATTATGGTTCAATGCAGGACTCAGATATTTTGATGCAAGTGCTTCCCTGTGAATAATGCAATGGGTCCACAGTGCATCAAGGTCTTTGCTTTGAAAAAGTGCTTGCAATCCTCCATAATATCCAGACATAGAAAGAGCACCATCAGTAAAGATACAAATGCATTTGGTCCACTCCAAATTATTTTCAGATATAAAAATATCAAGGATCTCAAACAAGTTGTGAGCCTTAGCACCAGCAGTAATACTTTTACAGAAGAGAAAGTTTTCTACAATGTTATTATTATCTATAAACTGTACATAGCAAATCAAGTGATCATCATTATTATTATTATTATGTGTCCTCATCCAGCTGCAACCCAAATTTCTTCCCTTCTTTTTTCAATAACTGGACATTGGAGGTCCTTCGCTATGTGCTGTATTCTGTGACTGATAGTGTTATTGGACAAAGGCACTTATGAAAGCTGCTTCCCAGCAGACTCACAGATCATAATTTTCACCATATCTATAGCAGCCAGTAGAATGAGTTTTTCTGCGATGGTATGAGGATAGAATTGCAAAATATAAAAAATTTTGCAATTATACATACCACCTTTATTACTGAGTTAATGATTTGCATCTTAGATGCAAATCATTAACTTTGACTGCTAGATGTTGCATCATTAACATTGTCTGCTAGATGTTGCATCTTATCACATTAAATTGAAAGTGGAAGTAAAATTATGAAAAATTTTATATTATTTTGCGGCACCCCTGTGAGGAAGTCACAGTTCCCCGGGGTGCCACAGTGCTCACTTTGGGAACCACTGACATTATGTGTTGGTATATAATATACTTGCATATTATGCTGGTATACTTAATGTTAAACCTTAAATGTAATCAGTTATGGCTTTTGAACTTAATATTTATACTTTTAAAGATTGGCAACTGCTTTAATAATTTTAATAAAATATATGATGTAGTTATAAACAATATTTAAATGGAAAAAATGAAATTCTGACAAATCTTAGCAATTATATTGCTATTGTTCTGTTATGGCAATTATTTAGGTATAGTGTTGAATCTTTTATTGTAGCATTGTGAATAATAGAGCCATGATATAAAACACGAAAAACATTTTGTGTGAAATATTTATTTTTAGTTAATTATTTAATCTAGTGAATGTTAACATAATTTAATTATTATTTTCAATAGTAAATTTTCATTTTAAAACATTTAAGTAAAATTGATTATAAAAGATCAAATTTTATCTTCCTGATGAACTTAACTGATAAGAATTAATTAGCTTAGTAAAAGTAGTTTTTGTATGTTTCATGTTTTTTTCTATTAAAGAGAAAATTAATGTAGCATTGCAAGTTACTTAACTTTTTGCATATGAAATCATATACATTGAATTTTTTTTATCTTACCATTGATTATTCTATGTTATATTTTTTATTGCTTACAATTGTTTAATTAATATATACAAAATTGTTGTTGTTTATATACAGACTTATTATAAATTGTAACACAGATAATCATAAAGTGATACAAAATGCTGGGTTGGGCTGCTAAAGATGGTTGGGGCAGACTCCCTAGTAACTATGTGAAATTCATATATATTAATACTTTCAATATATGATGATTCAATATATTATACGGTTGAGCATCGATTATCCGAATATCGATCAACCGAAACATCAATTAACTGAAAGCTTTCCAGTAGGCGAATTTAAGTTTCCGCTAGTGCTGTGGCACTGCAATATTTGGCTATGTTTTGGGCTACTCCAATATTATTTTTATTGGTGTGCATGTTTTAGCTGGCAGCACTGGCACGACCATGAGAGGGTACTTAAGGATGTGCCAGGATTTGAACAAATTTCAACATGGGATAGGTTAATATATTTTTTCATACATAATCAGTTATCCAAAAAATTATTTTCTGAACAACCCCAGTCCCCAATTGATTCAGATAATTGATGCTCTATGTATATTCAATCATTTAGAGAAAAGAACTATTAAAATGAGGGCATTTATTTCTTCTTCTTCTTCAAAAAAAAAATACAATTGATTTTGAAGAAAATATATGTTGTTGTTTAAAATTCATTTTATTTAATTCACTACACATCAATACTTAATAAATTTTCACATAATCTTAATAACACTACAGATTACATTCCTAATCATGTTAAATTTTTTCTGATTATTATTTAAAATTAGCATGCCATTATGAAATATATTCAGGGTATTACAAGATAATTTAGCAAATGTTTTCTCAGAAAATTTTTGTGTTGTGAAACTTTTTGAAGACTTCATTAATTGAAAGCTTCCAGAATATGATGATAAAAAATAACCTAAATGTAACATTAGTTTTATGTTTAACAATATAAATTTAAAAGTTTTCTCTTGGATTATAAGAATTTTTTTGGCTTTAATTTTTAGGATAACAATCAGAGATTTATTAAAAATTTCATTATAATGCAGTTAAATTCAAAAATATAATGCATTATATTTGTTTGATACTTGCAGTGAAAAGTGTAGAAAAACATACTTAGGATGCTTAATAGCATGTCTGACATGCTATTAAGCATTATTTTTTAAAATTAATTTTCTACAATTGTCTACATTAGTAATGATAAAATAATAATATCTAGATTATTTTAATGATGATGTATTTCAGAATGTAATTGGACTATGGCAGACTTCTTTGATATGTCATAGACACAAACAGTAAATAAAAATTCTTACAACAATTCTGTCAGAAGATTTTTCCAAATAGACCTGTCATATATACTGTATGTAATAAATATTAAACTTGAATAATGCAATATGTTTCTGGATGTTAACTCAGCTGAGAATATCATTTTGTGAGAATAAGAACAAATGAGTTTATTTTTGTTCTTTGCAAATGATGACAAATTACCAGTTTGAGAGGACAAAAAATTAACTAGACAAATGTAAATCAGAAATTGTAACATTGTGATCCTTATATTATTTGCTATCATATTTTATACATACCACCTTTATTACTGAGTTAATGATTTGCATCTTAGATGCAAATCATTAACTTTGACTGCTAGATGTTGCATCATTAACATTGTCTGCTAGATGTTGCATCATTAACATTGTCTGCTAGATGTTGCATCTTATCACATTAAATTGAAAGTGGAAGTAAAATTATGAAAAATTTTATATTATTTTGCGGCACCCCTGTGAGGAAGTCACAGCTCCCCGGGGTGCCACAGTGCTCACTTTGGGAACCACTGACATTATATGTTGGTATATAATATACTTGCATATTATGCTGGTATACTTAATGTTAAACCTTAAATGTAATCAGTTATGGCTTTTGAACTTAATATTTATACTTTTAAAGANATTCTTTTCATGAAATATTTAGTTATTAAATGTTTAAATAAAATTAAAGGATTAAATAATGGATAACATACAATGTTGGTGTAGTTAAAAAATTTCTTTCAGATGATGATTAATTTACTCTCTCTCTTAGTCAATAAGTAATAATTTGTTAACTGAGACAGAGCATAAATTAAATAACTTATTAAATTAATAATTTATTTAATTTTAATAGTTTAATAAGTTATTTCATTTGTAACATAATTTTATAAATTCTTTATACTTTACAATAATTTTATATTCTTATTTTAATATAAAAATGTTTTAATATGTAGATGGGCCACATGGTCCCTCAGATCCTTGGTCCACCAATTCCAGCCTGCAGTACTCTTATACGTCCTCCATGATTGATAGCATAGCTTCCCATCAGTCACAACCATCAATTCATCTTCCACACGAACCAATGGTAAGAATGTTTTAGCATTTTATTTTTATTTATATCTAGACTGATTAGTTTATTAAACAGTATCATTCAGGATTTATCATTCTTATATATAAATAATTTTATAAATTATCTAATATAATAAGGCTCTAAAGGGAAACAGATAAACGAAATTTCAACATGATGATACTATAGATAAATTAGTATAGGTACTGTGTGTATCTTCATGTCATAATAATTTTATTTGTTTAAAATTTTTATTTTATAATAACAATTTATAGATTAGATGAAAAATGAACATTCAAAAACTGGTTGACATCAAAAGGAAAACAATTTTAAAATACATTCTAAAAACAGAATCTCTAACATTTGATAAAGTTTGATGCTTGATGAAGGCTCCTAAATGAGTCGAAAACATTTCGTTTTTTTGTATTTAATTCAAATACATATTATTTGCTGGAAATTTTGTATGCATGATATGTTGTTTTTAATTTATGTTCAAACATATTTATTATTCAATAATATGAATTTGATTGTGTTACTATAGTTTATTCTGTATTATTTTATAATACAATCTTTTCTTTTTGGTTAACATTGATTAATTTTTGTTAAAATGTGTAGTTATATAAATTAATAAGTATAAATGAAATATAGAGTTAATATTAAGAGACTATTGCATTGTACTGCATTTGATAATTTCAAATAAATCAGATTAATTTATATTATTGAATTCTGATTGTATGAAATAAGAGTGATTTTTAATTTAAAAAAATAAAATTTATTAAAAACAATTATGAAAATATTTTATTTTATATACACACATCATTTTTAATATAAAAATATTAAAAATAGTATATATTGTTTATAGAGAACTGAGGTTTTCTAAAAATAGTATATATATATATGCAAAGTCAAACCTTGGTTTTTGATCATAATGTTTTTCTAAAAGTTGTTCTAAAACCAAAACAAATTTTTCTATAAAAAATATAAAATGGATTCTGTTTCTGACCCCAAANTGTGCATTTTGTATTTTACTTTTATTATTTAATTTGACTTAAGCACCTTTAAACACAAATCCTTGGATGCCATTTATATTACATGAATGCCAATTAACACAATTTTTATTAATTAATTTGATTTAAATTCAACTTCTATGCATACCAAAAAATGGAAATTGTATTTTGCCTGCATGTGGATTGAAATTTAATTTTAATAACAACATAATCAATGAATTGTGTCATGATGTCCAGTGACATAAGGTGATCGCAATACCACTGACTTCTGAATCAGTAGTTCTGTTGCTGATTGGTTGGGTTGTCGACTTTCTTTAACATAGAAAATATAGGGAGTTGACTATCTGTGTGTGTCTAATGTATGGTACTGATTTGTTCAAAAACCAAGATTTGACTGTGTGTTTGTGTGTGTATATTATATATATAAAAAGCGTGCAGTGCCATAATGCTGTAAATGCCAAAATAGAAATTTTTCAGGAGATGTAAAAAACACTTTTTCTAATGAATGAATTCATTTCAATTTTACAATAAAATGGTAAACTCACTGTGTTACAAATTCTCCGTAATATCAAAATGATGTAAATATAAGTCATAATGTTTTGAGTGCCAAAAGTCACATGACTTACACTCTGGTGCTTTAAACATTATATCTTTACATAAATTCATCTTCAAAATACAGTCACTTAAAGTGCCAATATTGCCACAATATTCTTTTGCGGCAGAAAATATTGCATTTAGAATTTAGTTCTTCAATAAAATGTATTTACATAAAAATGGCATTTACAATGTATTGGCATTGCACACTTCATGTATAGCAAGTGCTTATTAGTTTGACATTGATAATTTGTCAGAATTATGAGAAATGAAATAATGACTTAAACAAGATTTGAGAAACTTTTAAAATTTACTGCTTTAATCATAAAATACAGCAATTTTTAAATTTAAATGGTTAGAATAGCTCATTACTAGAATTAGCACATTTATAAAATAAAAAAGTATAAGGGTATTATCATTTAATCAATCTTTATAAATTTTGAATGAATTATTATTCAATATATTTACATAAGTTATATATTTTTAATAGTGCATTTGAAATTTGTCAACATTCATGTTTTCATAATCTATAAGAAAAAAAGCATTAGTATAGCATAGCCATACTAGTAATAGTTTATTTTATAAAATTTTTAGCTTCAGTATTGTGGAGCAATGAAAAGACAAAAGTAAACTTATAAAAAAAAAAACTTCATAAGTTATCTGATTTGTTAACTTATACAGTGTATGTCTCATTTTTTTGATAATACAGTGCCTATATTTTTTCTTAATTTAGAATGATAAATATTGGTTTTTCATATGAACAACAGAGATAAAGCTGGATAAGTATTTGAGCAAAATTTTAATGCATACAGTAAATTTTCAGTAATTTTTAATATCCTTCTTTTAGGAAACAATAACGTAAGTAGTAATGAAAATAGAACATTACAAAAATTTAAAAAATTAACATTTATGTAATGTAGAAAACAGAATACCAAATTAAAATTAAGGTAATCAAATGTAGTAAAGAACAAACTACTTAAATAAGAATTTAAATTACATTTAAACAACAGAAATACATAAATACATAGTATTGGTACAACAGAATACTGGTTTTCTTTGAATTAGTGAACACTTCATATAGTGAAGTGATTTCCAAGCATTATATTATATGCATTATATATATTTCCAAGCATTATATATTCACATTACCTATAATATGTATATTATATTATATAGATTATAAATTATTCCTGATAATTATTTTAAATAAATCACAGAGAGATTTATTTATAATGTTATCAGGAAATATATGAAGAAATATGTAGCCCACAGAAAGTGTTTTAGATCAAATTTCTTTGATATTAAGGGGGGACAAGATTGCATTATCAGTTTTGTTGTAGATGATATTACTATCTGTGAAAAATGAGGTCAACTTCATTTTTTTAAATGGGAACCCCAATTTTTATTCTATATAATTCTACATAAAAACTAATAAACTTTATTTAAACTGTGTTTTTGAGAGATGTAATTGTCAGAAATTATGATTGTTTGAAGGTGTGAGTGGTAGTTGAAAATTGCACATTTTACAGTAGTGGAAAAAGTTGACATAATTTCTGTTCACAGGGAAACTAATAGAAATGGATACCGGTAATTGTACATTAACTGACAGAAATTATCCCAGTGTTATGACTTCTCATTGCATCGTTAATTTTATTTACTGAAGTGGGAAGCTGTAAACAAAATCTAAGTTTCAAAGAAATACTATAATAAATATATAATAATTAATAAATAAATGAAGATGCAGAAATTGGTGTTTTAGCTACAGTAGCTTGAAATCTTTCCACTAGTTCCAGACAAATTGTACAAGGTTCTGAAATGTCTAAAATTAGTTTTTTTAGTATACCTAAATGGCACATATTTAATCCTTATCATATTTTGTTCCACCAAGAACTCCATGGCGATGACTTTCAGAACCATGTAAACTTCTGTCATTGGGCAGAACAACAAATATGAAATAATGACAATTTTTTTTTAACAAGTATCATAGTGAAGCATCATAGTGAAATAGATTGGCATAAAATATTTTTCCCTAAGATAAAATATTTCATCCTAGGGGATATGTAGTCTAGAAACCAAACTTATAACTTTGAATGTTTATAACATTTCTCAAAAAATATTTTATCTAAAAGTTTATTAATTTATGTAGAATTAATTTATAGAAGAAAAATATTGTGTTCTTGTTTAATCAAATGAAGTTGACCTCATTTTCTCCAACAGTAATGCTATCTATGATGAAAATGATAGTCTATCTCATGTTCTCCTTGATATCATAGAATTTGGTCTGAAACATTTTTTCAAGATATATATGTTTTGAGATATTTCCCAATAAACGATCCATCCTGTATATAGAAAAGAATTACCAGAAACTTCTCAGCTTTCAATATGCAAGTTCAAATAGGAGAGTGCACTAATGGTGATTAAAGCATCAATTGATGTACAGAAAATAAAAAGTAGAGAACTGAAGATGGACATAAGTATGTCTTTGGTTTCTGGAAAAATTGAGATGGCAGATGAATAATGTCTCTCATGAAAAAAGATTTTGTTACATGTTTAAAAATACTCTTGGTAAGTTCAGACAAAGAAAAAAACTGTTGGATTAGTTTATAATTGCATGTTAAAATTAGTGGTCAAATTTTATCTATGTGCAACATCATTGCCACGGTCGCAACTGTTTGTGCTCCCGACTGACTCTTCCTGGAGGGGAGCCACCAGCAGGCTGCTGAGTGTATAATGTCACTAGTTATTGATGTGTGTGTTCAAGAAGTACTGTGAATCAATAACTAGTGACATTATACACTCAGCAGCCTGCTGGTGGCTCCCCTCCAGGAAGAGTCGGTCAGGAGCACAAACAGTTGTGACCACCACCATGACAGTGCACATAGGTAAAATTTAACCAAATTAGTAAATAACCTACTGTACATCTGCTTTAAAATTGACTTTTAAATACAGGTAACCCCTGAATTATCTATACATAATTATGGTAATAGAGAGAGTGTATTTATTCGAACTTGGTATTTATAATTAATGTAATTTGTATTGTGTCATTGTGTCAAGCAAAATTTTTGTTGCTTAATATTGTGAAAAGAGAGCAATTTTCTATACTCAAGATCTGATATTTTAAAAATACTGGTATTTGGTATATCACATAATACAGTGGTTCCCAAACTTTTTTAATTCTCGGCACCCTTGCTAAATTCAGATTTTTCCAAGGAGCCCTATGTCAAATTCTAACAAATACAATTTACGAAATAGCAAAATAGCCAATATCTTTTTAATTAAAGAGTTAGGATGTTAAGTAAAAAATAAATAAAACATGTATTTAAGGTAACAAAAAAATGTAATTAAACAAATTCAATTAATTATAATTAGTGGAATGGATGAGCCTGTTGATCACTGCACATTTTCTCAAACCTTTGAATCAAACTGGACACAGCCACCCTCATTTCCTTCTCCACATTGATTTTCGTTCAATGCTTAGTTTTTATCATAGTGACAAACTCAGCTTTGCACAAATAAGAAGTCACAAATGAAATTAAGATTCTCTGAGCTGTACCACTCAGAAGGGATATTCATATTTTACTGATATACAAAGTTAATTCCATGCTGCTAAATTTTATTTTCAATGTATTGTCACAAGACAACTCAATAAGATTCTCTTCTTCTGCAGCAGTAAATTCAGATAAGAGTACTGGCATTAAACGGATCTTGAATTCATGCAAATTTATCAATATTATCATTTTGAAAATATTTCTCAACCGGGTAATAAGCTGTGATAAATGTTCTTCAAAAATAGAGTTCATACCTCGAGAGAAATCACTCCATTGGAAGTCAAACACTTGCAACAAGGGGAAACATCCTTTCCTCCATCTTCATTTATTTTTCTTTTCCATAGTTTTAATTTTTTTTTTATAAAAGCTGAAATTTTCTCAATTGACTTTAAAAGGTGCATGTTGCTTCCCTGCAGGGAGAGATTTAGAGCATTCAGCTTTTCAAAAATATCACATAAGTATGCTAATTTTACCAAAATATCTTCAATCACAAAATTTTTGGCATACTTGTGGTCTTCCTCTTAAAGAATAATATAAATTTCCTGTCGCAGTTCAAACATACGAGACAAAATATTATCTCGAGAGAGCCATCGCTCTCTTGTGGTGGTGATTTGTACTTTCTCAAAGTGCTGTAGTACAACAAAGACGTATGCTCGGATCCCACATTCTCACATAGTTTTTCGAAAAATCTTGCCTTCAATGGCCATTTTTTATAAAGTTTACTACATGTACTACATATTATGGTTCAATGCAGGACTCAGATATTTTGATGCAAGTGCTTCCCTGTGAATAATGCAATGGGTCCACAGTGCATCAAGGTCTTTGCTTTGAAAAAGTGCTTGCAATCCTCCATAATATCCAGACATAGAAAGAGCACCATCAGTAAAGATACAAATGCATTTGGTCCACTCCAAATTATTTTCAGATATAAAAATATCAAGGATCTCAAACAAGTTGTGAGCCTTAGCACCAGCAGTAATACTTTTACAGAAGAGAAAGTTTTCTACAATGTTATTATTATCTATAAACTGTACATAGCAAATCAAGTGATCATCATTATTATTATTATTATGTGTCCTCATCCAGCTGCAACCCAAATTTCTTCCCTTCTTTTTTCAATAACTGGACATTGGAGGTCCTTCGCTATGTGCTGTATTCTGTGACTGATAGTGTTATTGGACAAAGGCACTTATGAAAGCTGCTTCCCAGCAGACTCACAGATCATAATTTTCACCATATCTATAGCAGCCAGTAGAATGAGTTTTTCTGCGATGGTATGAGGATAGAATTGCAAAATATAAAAAATTTTGCAATTATACATACCACCTTTATTACTGAGTTAATGATTTGCATCTTAGATGCAAATCATTAACTTTGACTGCTAGATGTTGCATCATTAACATTGTCTGCTAGATGTTGCATCTTATCACATTAAATTGAAAGTGGAAGTAAAATTATGAAAAATTTTATATTATTTTGCGGCACCCCTGTGAGGAAGTCACAGTTCCCCGGGGTGCCACAGTGCTCACTTTGGGAACCACTGACATTATGTGTTGGTATATAATATACTTGCATATTATGCTGGTATACTTAATGTTAAACCTTAAATGTAATCAGTTATGGCTTTTGAACTTAATATTTATACTTTTAAAGATTGGCAACTGCTTTAATAATTTTAATAAAATATATGATGTAGTTATAAACAATATTTAAATGGAAAAAATGAAATTCTGACAAATCTTAGCAATTATATTGCTATTGTTCTGTTATGGCAATTATTTAGGTATAGTGTTGAATCTTTTATTGTAGCATTGTGAATAATAGAGCCATGATATAAAACACGAAAAACATTTTGTGTGAAATATTTATTTTTAGTTAATTATTTAATCTAGTGAATGTTAACACAATTTAATTATTATTTTCAATAGTAAATTTTCATTTTAAAACATTTAAGTAAAATTGATTATAAAAGATCAAATTTTATCTTCCTGATGAACTAACTGATAAGAATTAATTAGCTTAGTAAAAGTAGTTTTTGTATGTTTCATGTTTTTTTCTATTAAAGAGAAAATTAATGTAGCATTGCAAGTTACTTAACTTTTTGCATATGAAATCATATACATTGAATTTTTTTTATCTTACCATTGATTATTCTATGTTATATTTTTTATTGCTTACAATTGTTTAATTAATATATACAAAATTGTTGTTGTTTATATACAGACTTATTATAAATTGTAACACAGATAATCATAAAGTGATACAAAATGCTGGGTTGGGCTGCTAAAGATGGTTGGGGCAGACTCCCTAGTAACTATGTGAAATTCATATATATTAATACTTTCAATATATGATGATTCAATATATTATACGGTTGAGCATCGATTATCCGAATATCGATCAACCGAAACATCAATTAACTGAAAGCTTTCCAGTAGGCGAATTTAAGTTTCCGCTAGTGCTGTGGCACTGCAATATTTGGCTATGTTTTGGGCTACTCCAATATTATTTTTATTGGTGTGCATGTTTTAGCTGGCAGCACTGGCACGACCATGAGAGGGTACTTAAGGATGTGCCAGGATTTGAACAAATTTCAACATGGGATAGGTTAATATATTTTTTCATACATAATCAGTTATCCAAAAAATTATTTTCTGAACAACCCCAGTCCCCAATTGATTCAGATAATTGATGCTCTATGTATATTCAATCATTTAGAGAAAAGAACTATTAAAATGAGGGCATTTATTTCTTCTTCTTCTTCAAAAAAAAAATACAATTGATTTTGAAGAAAATATATGTTGTTGTTTAAAATTCATTTTATTTAATTCACTACACATCAATACTTAATAAATTTTCACATAATCTTAATAACACTACAGATTACATTCCTAATCATGTTAAATTTTTTCTGATTATTATTTAAAATTAGCATGCCATTATGAAATATATTCAGGGTATTACAAGATAATTTAGCAAATGTTTTCTCAGAAAATTTTTGTGTTGTGAAACTTTTTGAAGACTTCATTAATTGAAAGCTTCCAGAATATGATGATAAAAAATAACCTAAATGTAACATTAGTTTTATGTTTAACAATATAAATTTAAAAGTTTTCTCTTGGATTATAAGAATTTTTTTGGCTTTAATTTTTAGGATAACAATCAGAGATTTATTAAAAATTTCATTATAATGCAGTTAAATTCAAAAATATAATGCATTATATTTGTTTGATACTTGCTGTGAAAAGTGTAGAAAAACATACTTAGGATGCTTAATAGCATGTCTGACATGCTATTAAGCATTATTTTTTAAAATTAATTTTCTACAATTGTCTACATTAGTAATGATAAAATAATAATATCTAGATTATTTTAATGATGATGTATTTCAGAATGTAATTGGACTATGGCAGACTTCTTTGATATGTCATAGACACAAACAGTAAATAAAAATTCTTACAACAATTCTGTCAGAAGATTTTTCCAAATAGACCTGTCATATATACTGTATGTAATAAATATTAAACTTGAATAATGCAATATGTTTCTGGATGTTAACTCAGCTGAGAATATCATTTTGTGAGAATAAGAACAAATGAGTTTATTTTTGTTCTTTGCAAATGATGACAAATTACCAGTTTGAGAGGACAAAAAATTAACTAGACAAATGTAAATCAGAAATTGTAACATTGTGATCCTTATATTATTTGCTATCATATTTTAAGTCTGTAGCTCTTAAATGATATGTTTTCAAAAACATTTTATAGCTCAAAAATTATATGAGAGCATCTGGTTACATTATCTTGCAAAATCTTGTATATATGTAATACTGTAAACTAATTTTTTGTTTTAAATTATGAAATCTTATTTTTTAATGAAACTTTTACTTTTTCCAAAATCTTTGAGTGTTTAAGTTTTTTTTATTAAAGAATGTTTAAATTAATTTATTTACAATTTCAATATTAATTTATTTTAATGATATTTTTTAAATAATTATTTTTTATTACTGATAACTTATATTATCAACTAATATGATTTTTTTTTGTATGTCTATTATTTATCTGCATTAAATTTATTTTAAAATTAGTATTTTTCATATTATGTTCATTCTATCCATAATAAGTTTGCATGATTATATCTTTTTTGAAAGTCATTTGAAAACACATACATTTCAGGTATACCCTCCAAACCATGACCCCTCCATGATGTCCTCCAGTCTTCCACCCATGTCCACATTTCGGGGTCCGTCCAGCAACACACACAACATGCCCCATTCATCAGCCTCCCCTTTGTATGGCCAGAGCAACACCTCTCCCAGTTCCTTGTCCTCCCAACCAACTTCTCAGACAGGGGATACTCTGGGAAAAGCATTAGCATCTGTAAGTTATTTTAAGTACAGGATCAATAACTGTTAATTTAATATAAATATGGGTATATTATCTTTATCAGATACAAATATTTTATTTGTACTGAATTAATAAATGAGACTAATAGAGATTAATAGATAAGTTAAGACCAAAATGTGAGTAGGGAGGGAAAAAAGACAACTTCTAGAAACATAAATTACATTAATGTACAAAATACTTTGAAAAACCAATAATTTTGTAAAAATATATTTAATGTTTTGTAAATTTCAAAATGTTTTGTACATAGTTTCATGTATTAATTAATATAACTTGTTTAAAAATATTTTTATATAGTATGGAAATTATGAATATGAAATGATTCATTTATGTCTGAATGAAATGGGGAAGGAACATAGGTCTAATGGAGAGAGTTGTAGTGAAGGAATAAATGTGACTACTTTTTAAAAGAATTTAACAAAACAGAAATACACTGTTTGTTATTTTTCTTATGTTATCAGACATTAAGTTTCTAATATGAACAATGTAACAGAAATGATAAATTGTAATAAAAATTAAAATCAATTAAACTGTAGCAAAATGAGAAAATGAATGATTTATATACTAGTTACAATTTTTAAAATTAAAAATATTGAACAATTACATAAATTAACATGATTTTAAATTGTATTATTTGTTGCTTGTAAATAAATGATAGATTCAATGATTATAATGCTTAAAGAAGCAAAAGCAATATTGTATTTTTTAAAGCCATTTTTTGAGCATCCATCCTATAGTTCAGATCTATTCTTTCAGATTTTGAAACTTTTCTTTATTTGAAAAGATTTTTGGCTGTTTAGTAAATGAGCAATGATGATAATGTGTGGATTAGGTCTCTGTCAGAAGAATCATTCAAACTGTGACTTGCTAAATTCCAGAGATGATAAATGTTTAACTAATCATGCTAATTACATAAAGAAATAGTAACATGTATGTGCATTATTGCTTATAACTGTCATGTTTTTATTCTTGTTTAATTTTTAAAGATTAGGAAAACTTTTTTCTGGATACCCTTTTTTTTTATTAGAGATTGAAAAGCTATGGTACAAAGGGTATCTAGATACAAATATTTTACTTTTATATAGTTATATTGTAACAGTTTAACACTATAAGTAATTTTTAAAAAAATTATAGTTTTGTATAGTATTTATTGTGTAGTTATTTATTACTATTTTATCCCTCAAACATTACAGTATACATAAGTAATGACTTTCTAAGCTCTCATTGTATTTTGTGATTAATTTATTGAACTTATATAAATTTAATAATACAGAATATTTCAGAATAATTTAATCAGATGTATTAAATTTGTGCTTGATTAATTTTAAGCTTGTGAAGTTTTTGATACATATTTAAAAATTTTGAAACAAAGTAATGTTTAAGTGCTATAAGTCAAAACAGTGCTTTTTTGAGTATTTCAAATTTCATTATCAGAACAAACATTGAACTGTAAACAGATTCCAGCATCAGATGTTGAAATCTGTTTGTCTTTTAGTGTTTGATCTGATAATGAGATATGAAATATTTTAAAAAAATAAAGAAATAAAATTTAATTGTAATAAAATGTTCTGGCTTAGTGAACTGTATATCTTTAATTTTATTTGAAGGAATTATTTTTATTATGAAAGATGGAGTCAATAATTACAAGGAAGTTGATATGTATTATTTATAAAGCATAATTTCAATATACAGTGGGTGATCGGTTAATGAATAGGACTGCGAACAAATTGGACAATGAACACTTTCATGAAAGATTTTTATGTTCAAACACGTTTGGATAAAGAACACCTCACAGAACAAACACAAGAAGAAGTGACATAAAATAATGAATACCAATTGGTTTTTCCTTGTCTCCAGATGACAATTCAAAACCTTTCAGAGTGAAGGAGATGTCAACATTGCTGCTCAACCCAATACTGATTGGATATTACTCCGAACTTTGAAACTCCCACTTGTAATTCCAACCTTTCTGACAGAAAGAATTTTTTATAGTCTTCACGAATTTTTTATAGTTTTTATAGGGCACTCGTTAAGCTTTGCATCAGTTTTTATTTTTGAAAGGTTAGAGTTTAACTGTCCCATCAGATATTCATTAATATTTCACACCAGATTTTGAATTCTGTCTGGACCTCATATTTAAATAATGTTTTTGTGTGCTAGTTGATTTCTGTTCTATGAATTTTTGTAAAATGTTTTTCTGAACATTTTATTTAAAAAAGAAACTGATAAGATTATGAAGCCTAAAAAGAGTGGGTTATCAAGAACTGTGCTCACCATAGAAACTAAGCAAGAGATAATAGCCAAGGTAGAGAGTGGGCAGATGTCTGATGTTGCTAGGCAGTATGACTTGAACAGGTCTACAGTAGGCACAATCTTAGCTAAGAAAGTTGTAATCAAGAAGACTCAGCAGCTAAAGGAGTAACTAAAATCACATGTGAGAAACAAAGATGTGTCATCCATAAAAAATGGAGAACGATTTGGATAAAAGAAAGGAAATTAAAAGAAATGTAACTAGTATGACTATCATTCAAGAGAAAGCTAGAGAAATTTTTGGAGAACTGAAGAAACAAACTCCACATTTGTCACATGAGGAGATAGAATTCAAGGTGTTTTGAAGCATGTCAGTTCTTCTCAACAATGACATTAAAAACATTTTGGAAAGAAAAATTTGATATTCTTGAAACTATCTGGCTCATTCAAAAGGCGTAGTCAGAAGTCACTCAAAACAGTTGAATTCTGATTGGCAAAAGCCATGTCCCACCTGCATTAAGCGAGATGGAGATGAAATCCTTGAAATTGTGACAACTGCTAGAGATCTCAAATTGGAGGTGAATGAAGATGACATTGAGGAGCTCATAGTGGAACCTGAAACTGATCTGACAACAGAACTCCAAGAACTCTTGTATGAAGAACACCAAGAATCTCAGCGAGATGTGTTTTCTTCTGAAAAAGAAGATGAAAGAGGACCAATGCCTACATCTGCTATTAAAGATCTTTTGAAGAAATGGGAGGATGTCAGAACAATAATCTTAGAATGGCATCCAAACCAGGTTCAGAAGAATAGATTTGAGGATCTCTACAACAACAACGCTATTAATCACTTTCAAAAAATCCTGAAGGAGAGAGAAAAGCAATCGACATTGAACAGATTCTTTAAAGCCCCACAAATGGAAAAAGAACATGACTGATAGAAATGCAAGAATATATATGTATATATTATTATACAAATAAATAAATGTAGTAAGAAAGTATATAATCATTTATTTACTTTTGGGGACCTCTAGAATGAATTAATCAAATTCTCATAAAAATCTGTGGTAACTTGATAATCAGTTAAAGAATAATTCATGTAGTGAACGTGGTCTTGGAATGGACTATGTTTGTTAACTGATCACTCACTGTACAATTCCAAAAGTAGGCTAAACAATGTAATGAGAAATAAAAGCTTTGCTTTTCAGTAATTATCCATTCTAGCATTCCCAACAATGATAACATCATTGTCAAGTGAAACTTTTAATGTTTCATTTAGTAAGTGAAGTAGTAATGTTTGTCATATAAAAGCCAATAGTAATTAATTAAGAAAGAAAAAAAATTAAAATTTGAAGTAACTTTCAAGCTAACACTGAATGAGTAAACAGTAGTTACAGACTTGAAAATATTATATTTCTAATAATGTAATGTTACAATTTTTTATGAAGTTGTTGTGTGTGTTTAATCAATAATTAAAGATATAATAACATTTTATTAAAGTTATGTTTAAAATGAGTTTTAATTTTTTAAATTCCAGTTATTTAACATTAAATTATATTGAATAAAAATATATATTTTAATATTGTTTGCAGATTTATCCCACAGAGCCTCCAGTTAGCAGCTTCCCTTCAACTCCTGCAACACCAGTGAGTTCTCCAACTCCTCTTACAGGTAATATATTTTTTATATTACATGCTAGTCTAAATATCTGACATTATCTAAAGAACTGTATTGAAAATGTTTTAATTGGATAAAATTTCCTTATGGTTAGCTAATGGCATGTAATCTATGATACTTGTAGATATGTTTACAGTGATAATAACACAGAAAATTTTGTTGGAGGGTAATGACACTACATAAAAATAGTTTCACCATAGAAGTTTCCAAAATATACCTGTACTGTACATATATAATACAGTAGAGCATCAATTATCCGAAACAATTCAGGACTGGGGTTGTTCAGATAAGTGATTTTTCAGATAACTGATCAGTTACGAAAAAATATATTAAATACAAAACTGTACTGTATATATTTTGTATCACATGGCTTACAAATACATATCTTACATAAAGTAGTACATTAAAGTAGGCCTACAGTTTAGGTTGGCAGGGAGGGGGAGAGTGCTGCAGCATCACAGCACTAGCAGAAATTTGAATTTGCCTACTGGAACACTTTCGGTTAACCGATGTCTCAGTTGATTGGTATTTGGTTAATTGATGCTCTACTATATACACAAAACTCAAATTGTTAGCAAAAGTTGAGTCTGAATTACCAGATTTTTTTCAGACTATTTTTTAGACTACCAATTAAGAATGGGTTTAATTTAATCTCTGCTTCCAGTTAGTCCTTTCTTTCAGAATTTTTTAAGAAACTTAATTAAATTTAACATTAATTTCTAATTTTTAATATTTACACAAGAATATGACTTTATTGCCTGTCTTTATGCCTAGTTAAAATTTTCCTTTATTATTGCCTGAGAATCTGGCAGTTTTGGCTTAAGTTTAGTTCAAGATGTTAATAAATAATAATAAATTTAATAAATGTTTTGCTAATAAAAATATTTTAATGCTGAAAGACAGTGTGTGAGAGCTGTCTATTATGTACATTTGCATCAAGTGCATCCAAAGGTCGGTCCACCAGTGGTCGAGCGGTCTTTGTACCCTGAACACTGGGAGTTCAGTTGTGGGTTTGCATCTTGCTCAGACGGGCTGGCCATGTGGAGTTTTCCAGGTTTTCTCCACATCTGTAATGCCTAAATAGGGCTAGTTTCCCTTAAAAAGACCTCCTGGAAGGCATCTCCCTAGGCAGATCGCCCAAGTGTTGCGTTGCCATAACTAAACTAAACAAAGCATCCAAAGGTCTTTCAACTGTAATGAAAATGTTTGATACATAAACAAATGGTAAACTCATGGGAGGTCAGAGGACAAATTGGACTATCAGATTGGTTAATTCCTGCCATAATTTTGACATTAAAAAAATAGTTATATTTGTTTAATTTTTGTAAAAACAGACTTTTTATGATTTTGTTTATTTATAAAAAATAAAATTTATGTATCAGGAATGAACCCATGCCCTTTGCGTTATACTGGAATTCAATCAGCTGAAGCAATATAAATGAACCAAAATATTTATCAGATGTACTTAATTTATTATTTAATTAATTTAAGCTTAAATAATTTTTAGTCTATATCTGCACAAAGTAGAATTTTTTTCTTTTCAGTTGTCTACAATGTTAAACATAGCTAGTCCTTGATGTTTTTTTTAAAATTAAAGGAATTTATTTTTTACATTTAAAGCCAACTTTATTAACCATGGAAATAACCATTAGCCAAACTAACCATTTTACCAATAATGACTAATTATGTATAGTACATTAGTATTGTATGTCATTTTGAGGGCAATGACTATTGTTAAGAGGTTAAAAATAGAATTTTTAGTTGTTGGGTTGTTGTTTGGAGGTTATTTTGTATGCATTTTTGTTTGAAAAGAAATGTTTCTGAAAAAATATACATTAGTTCTTGCCATTAAAGCATATAATCTTTTTCTTTCACATTGGAAAAATTCTCAGATGTTGTACTTGGCATATATAATTGACAACTTCTGAGTTGTTTAGTGGTGAAAGCTTTGATATCAACATGTCAAAAGTTAAAGAAATAACTTTATTTAGTTATTAGCTAATTACATTTATTTTACTGTAATTCATTGACCTAGTAGTAACAATATGAGAGATAAATGATTTTTATGAAAGAGGATGGAGAGGAGAAAAACTTCAACAATTTTTTCTATAAACAGTTACTAGTTATTCCTTCCACTAGTCAGAATTAGAAAAGGTTTTTCATAAACAGAGATTCTGTACAATAAATACAGTATAATAAAGTGGCATTAGACATATGGTTTTTAAGGGCATATTTCAAAAATTTGCTAATAACTTTTAAACGAGGAAGATCTTTATCTGGAGGTACCATTTGTTTTTATAAATGTTACCAAATTCATTTTATATTTTGCAAGAATTTCTACTTTAATTATTAAAATGTCCTGTAAATTTTCTCCATAAAGGCATGTTTTAGTTTAGTTTTTATCTGTTGTTAAAACTTTTTATTGAGGTTAATTATATTTTATGCAATATGATATCACTTCTGTAACTGCATATGATGCTTCCTTGTTTGTNTCTTCATTTATTTTTCTTTTCCATAGTTTTAATTTTTTTTTTATAAAAGCTGAAATTTTCTCAATTGACTTTAAAAGGTGCATGTTGCTTCCCTGCAGGGAGAGATTTAGAGCATTCAGCTTTTCAAAAATATCACATAAGTATGCTAATTTTACCAAAAAATCTTCAATCACAAAATTTTTGGCATACTTGTGGTCTTCCTCTTAAAGAATAATATAAATTTCCTGTCGCAGTTCAAACATACGAGACAAAATATTATCTCGAGAGAGCCATCGCTCTCTTGTGGTGGTGATTTGTACTTTCTCAAAGTGCTGTAGTACAACAAAGACGTATGCTCGGATCCCACATTCTCACATAGTTTTTCGAAAAATCTTGCCTTCAATGGCCATTTTTTATAAAGTTTACTACATGTACTACATATTATGGTTCAATGCAGGACTCAGATATTTTGATGCAAGTGCTTCCCTGTGAATAATGCAATGGGTCCACAGTGCATCAAGGTCTTTGCTTTGAAAAAGAGCTTGCAATCCTCCATAATATCCAGACATAGAAAGAGCACCATCAGTAAAGATACAAATGCATTTGGTCCACTCCAAATTATTTTCAGATATAAAAATATCAAGGATCTCAAACAAGTTGTGAGCCTTAGCACCAGCAGTAATACTTTTACAGAAGAGAAAGTTTTCTACAATGTTATTATTATCTATAAACTGTACATAGCAAATCAAGTGATCATCATTATTATTATTATTATGTGTCCTCATCCAGCTGCAACCCAAATTTCTTCCCTTCTTTTTTCAATAACTGGACATTGGAGGTCCTTCGTTATGTGCTGTATTCTGTGACTGATAGTGTTATTGGACAAAGGCACTTATGAAAGCTGCTTCCCAGCAGACTCACAGATCATAATTTTCACCATATCTATAGCAGCCGGTAGAATGAGTTTTTCTGCGATGGTATGAGGATAGAATTGCAAAATATAAAAAATTTTGCAATTCTATGTACCACCTTTATTACTGAGTTAATGATTTGCATCTTAGATGCAAATCATTAACTTTGACTGCTAGATGTTGCATCATTAACATTGTCTGCTAGATNGATATGAACAATGTAACAGAAATGATAAATTGTAATAAAAATTAAAATCAATTAAACTGTAGCAAAATGAGAAAATGAATGATTTATATACTAGTTACAATTTTTAAAATTAAAAATATTGAACAATTACATAAATTAACATGATTTTAAATTGTATTATTTGTTGCTTGTAAATAAATGATAGATTCAATGATTATAATGCTTAAAGAAGCAAAAGCAATATTGTATTTTTTAAAGCCATTTTTTGAGCATCCATCCTATAGTTCAGATCTATTCTTTCAGATTTTGAAACTTTTCTTTATTTGAAAAGATTTTTGGCTGTTTAGTAAATGAGCAATGATGATAATGTGTGGATTAGGTCTCTGTCAGAAGAATCATTCAAACTGTGACTTGCTAAATTCCAGAGATGATAAATGTTTAACTAATCATGCTAATTACATAAAGAAATAGTAACATGTATGTGCATTATTGCTTATAACTGTCATGTTTTTATTCTTGTTTAATTTTTAAAGATTAGGAAAACTTTTTTCTGGATACCCTTTTTTTTTATTAGAGATTGAAAAGCTATGGTACAAAGGGTATCTAGATACAAATATTTTACTTTTATATAGTTATATTGTAACAGTTTAACACTATAAGTAATTTTTAAAAAAATTATAGTTTTGTATAGTATTTATTGTGTAGTTATTTATTACTATTTTATCCCTCAAACATTACAGTATACATAAGTAATGACTTTCTAAGCTCTCATTATATTTTGTGATTAATTTATTGAACTTATATAAATTTAATAATACAGAATATTTCAGAATAATTTAATCAGATGTATTAAATTTGTGCTTGATTAATTTTAAGCTTGTGAAGTTTTTGATACATATTTAAAAATTTTGAAACAAAGTAATGTTTAAGTGCTATAAGTCAAAACAGTGCTTTTTTGAGTATTTCAAATTTCATTATCAGAACAAACATTGAACTGTAAACAGATTCCAGCATCAGATGTTGAAATCTGTTTGTCTTTTAGTGTTTGATCTGATAATGAGATATGAAATATTTTAAAAAAATAAAGAAATAAAATTTAATTGTAATAAAATGTTCTGGCTTAGTGAACTGTATATCTTTAATTTTATTTGAAGGAATTATTTTTATTATGAAAGATGGAGTCAATAATTACAAGGAAGTTGATATGTATTATTTATAAAGCATAATTTCAATATACAGTGGGTGATCGGTTAATGAATAGGACTGCGAACAAATTGGACAATGAACACTTTCATGAAAGATTTTTATGTTCAAACACGTTTGGATAAAGAACACCTCATAGAACAAACACAAGAAGAAGTGACATAAAATAATGAATACCAATTGGTTTTTCCTTGTCTCCAGATGACAATTCAAAACCTTTCA